TTTAAAGTGTTTATTTGTTTTGAGAGAGAGAGAGCAAGTGGGGGAGGGAGAGAGGATCCCAAGCAGGTTTCACACCGTCAGTGAAAAGTCCAATGCGGGGCTCGATCCCACGAACCGTGAGATCACCACCTGAGCCGAAACCAAGAGTCGGAGGCTTAACCGACTGAGCCCCCCAGGCACCCCCGCAACCTGATTTCTGACTCTGTCTTCAAGCTTGTCTTGTTCTTCCGGCTTTTGTGTCCTCCTGGCCTGGCTCTCGGCCCAGCACGGAAAGCAGCGCATTGTGGCCAAAGCTATGACGGGCAACATCGGCAGCGGCGGGAACCAGAAGCAGGATGTGACCCGGCTGGGAGGGCAGGGGGAGGCAATCCGGGGAGGCTCCCTGGAGGACAGATCGGCCCCGTAGCCTGCAGGACGACTAGGCTGTAACAAGGTGGCAGGGAGCACAACTCTGCTTCCGGCAGATCAGCATGAGTTACCAGAGGCTCCTTAGCGCATTTGAGATTCCAAGTGACTATGACGAGGACTGCTCCGCGGGCCCTTGGTCTCCCCATCAGCAGCGTGGCTCTGGGAAGGCTGAGGTGTCGCCATATCCAGGCTCGGCCGTGGTCCCAGTACACGGTGACATTAAGACTGAAAGCTCCGTGAGTTATATTTTAATAAGTCACCAAATACTTCAGGAGTAGATTTGGGTCGGCCTCCTCTGTAAACGCCCGGCCCTGCGCGGCCGCCAGCCTCCCAAACGTCCACCGACCCCACTGGCCCAGGATGGCTAGACATTTGGATGACAACACTCCAGGCAGCAGGAAGCTGCCTCACGGAAACGATGTCTCCTCTGGACACAGGGAAGGGATGACACCTGAGAGGCAGACCTCAGGCCTTGACCAGCCTGCAGCAGCCTCCTCCCTGCGGTCTCCCTGCCTCCTCTCTCCCCTGTGTGTCGAGCACTGCCTGGCTGACCGTGGCCACACACGGCTCCGTGTGGCCTGGCCTCCGCACCAGCTCTGGCCTCCTCTCCTGCTCGGGAAGACCCAGCCTTACTGAATCCCTCCATTCCTCTGTCCCTTGCTGCCTCGGGGCCTTTGCACAGGCTGTTCCTCTGCCCAGAAAGCTCTTCCCTCCTTTTTACAAAAAGAACTCCTATGGGGCTTTAGGTCACAGCTCACACATCCAGGAAGGCCAGGCCAGGCCCCATCTTCCTCACTGGTTGCAAGTTATAGTTTTATGCTCGCTTACGATTTCCTTATGGTTTTTTGGTTTGTTTGTTTTCCCACTTGCTTCCTGCAGTATCCCTGGGGCCTGGAATGTAGCCAGAAGTCAAGAAATGTTCGTTGAAGGGCTAAACTAATGGGTAGCTGGACATTCTGCTCACCTGCCCCTCTCCACCCTCTAGGGAACCCCTGCCCACCCCTGGACAGAACCCACTTCTAGAACCAGTGATTTAGGTCAGCCTTTTCCCTTGAAGGATGGGCCCACTGCACGCCCAAAGCCACACAAGCCTCGGGGCCACCGGTGAGGCCAGGCAGTGACTCTAGTCCCCAACTTCTAATACCATCCATGATAGGATCTTAAGGGGAATTCAACTCTTCACGTTCCCGGACCCGATTCCGATGTGGGGGGGGTGGGGTTCCCACACACATAACACCAGGCAGTTCTCAGAGAATCCAATTCAATTCCAACACCATCCGCCCAGGGACAGCATCAGATCCCACAAAGTTAGGGGCTCACGGCTCCAAGCCTGCCCCGCCCCCACCCCCCACCCCCCAACTTCAGGTACCGGCCACAAGCCCAGGCCATTACCTGTGTTTCTGACGCACCAGCTAGAGACGAGTTTCCAAGGACCCGCTCCTAAGGTTTCATTAATTTGCTAAAGCGGCTCACAGAACTCGAGAAAACATTTAACATTTACCCGATCCTTAAAGGATATGATAAAGGCTATGGATCAAGAGCCAGATGGACAGAGGCACAGGGCAAGGTACCAGGGAGGGCTTAGGGTTTCTTTGCCCTTCCAGGCAAGCCACACTGGGCCTATGTCCACCTTCGTACCAACCTGGAAGCTTTCCGAACCCTGTCCTTCTTTATACACAGGCACAATAGCCTTAGTCACGGGGCGCAGGCTGATTCAGCCTCCTAGCACCAGGCTCTCACCCTCGGGTGGGTCCAAAAGTCACCTCATGTAAGGACAAGACACCCATTTCACTTTTATGGCCCCGAAGCATTTTCAGGAACCACGGATGAAGACCAACTATATTGGAAAAATCAATTTGGGTCGTTTGAATGGCCAAATATACGTGCAGTCCTTATCAATCACTGTGTCACAGCCAAGTTCAGGGGAGTCCCACGGTTCGCTTTTCGGCGATGGCCTGGCTCCTGGGACGGGGCACCCTGGGTCACCTGATGAGAGCTCTGGGGGTTGGGCTGAGCCGTGCTGCCGTGACAAGTATATTTCCTTCTCCACCCTGGCGTTGTCTAATCCACACCCTGAGGAACCAGCTCTCCTCAGTCCTCAAATTCCTGGTCAGCTGCTAGCCACCCCTCCCCAGGTAAGGCCTCTTGGGGCAAATTTAACCCCCGCCATAATGCATCAGATGCCCCCCTGGGTGAGGCTTGCTGGCTGCCCTCCTGGGGCCTTCCAGAGTCCAGGGGGGGGGGGGCCTGCGGTGGGGTGGTGGGGTAGGGCACAGGAACTTCTGAGGTAGGTGCCAGGCCTCGCCAGACCTCAGAGACCCCTGTGCCCTGGCCTCCATTGGTAACCTCGAGCCCTTTGGAGTTCCAGACCTGGGACTCTCTCTGGCCTGTCTGGTGGGAAAAGGACTTATAATGCAGGGAAGTTTAGGGCTGGGTTTTCATTTGGTTCTTTTCTTTTCTTTCTTTCTTTCTTTCTTTGTGGTTTTTGTTTGCTCGCTTTTTGTTTTGTTTTTTGCCGATCTGTGTGGCTTCATAGCACAAGGGCATTTTTCATTCTGTTTCCAAGAAAAAAATATCTTGGGTTCAGTTTGGGTGGGAACCCCCCCCCCCCGTCTCCCCCCACCAAATCTGTGTTCCTTCAAGGTCATTGCCCAGGACCTCCTGTCTCCCAGGAGGGGTGCCACACACCCAGGGCCCATACTGAAAAGCACCGGCTATATTCATTTTCGCTACATTTCTATATTCATTTTCGCTACATTTCTACGTATTAACCTTTGGTGCAGGGCCAGAAGCCGTGAGACGCACGGCAGCATATGGGCAAAGCTCTGTCCCTTTCCCAGTCCTGTCTCCGCTATCTCCTGAAAAGCCTGTGTGCTGGGTTCCCTTCCAGAAGTGTTGGCACAAATACGTGATTCTGCACTCCACTCCTTTCCATCATTCAAGGCCACCTGCCAGGTGCTACACGCTGCCCCGACAGCTTTACGCCCCCCTTCCCCGGGGAGCACTGGCCCGCCAGCCACCGAGGACATTTTCTGAAACAGCTTCATTGATCTATAATTCACACCCAGTACGATTCACGCATCTGAGGTGTACAATTCAATAGTTAACGTCATTTTATGACTTTTTTTTACTGTTTATTTATTGAGAGAGAGAGAGAAAGACAAAGTGCTAGTGGGGGAGGGGCAGCGCAAGCGAGGAAGACACAGAATCCCAAGCAGGCTCCAGGCTCTGAGCTCTCAGCACAGAGGCCGATGCACGAACCGACGCTCGAACCATGAGATCATGACCTGAGCTAAAGTCTGATGTTTGAGCCACCCAAGAACACCCCACCCCCGACAGATGTTACATTTTAAAATAGGGGCGCCTGGGTGGTTCTGGCTGTTAAGGGTCCCTGTCTCTCTCTCTCTCTCTCCCTCAAAAATAAATAAATAAACATTAAAATGTAACATTGCCTGTCAAAATGTTACATCATGTTAGAAATTGTGGCAAAAGGTACCTGACTTAAAATTTGCTGTTTTAACCACTTTCAAGCGTGCGGTTCACAACGGCAGTGCAGCCAACACATCGATTTACAAAACTTTTTTGTCACTCCAAATAGAAACTCTATCCCAGGTAGCAAAGACTCCGGGCTCCCTTTCCACCCTCCCAAACCCCTGCTAATCTTTAATCTGCTTTCTGTCCCTCTCAATTTGCCTATTCTCCATGTTTCGTGGAAGTAGGATGGCGGAATCTATGTCCGGCTTCTCTTACAAGAGAAGGGCAGTGCCCTCAAGGTTCGTTACACGACTGGCGGGTATCCGAATATCCTTCCTTTTGAGACTAACATTCCCTGGTGAGGATGGGCCTCATTTTGTGTACCCATTCATCCCTCAGAGAACATCTGGGTTGTTTCCAAATTATGGTGTTGGTGAATCATGCTGTTAGGAGTACAGGTGTACAAATATTTGAGTCCCTGCTTTCAGTTCTTTTTTTGCAGACCTCAGGGAGTAGGACTGCTGGCTGCAAAGGCAACTAGCTCGAGGTTTCTGAGCGGCAACGGAGCTGCTGTGCTACCTGCGTAATTTTGTTTTACATTGTTTAATGTTTGTTTATTTTTGGAGGAGCGAGACAGAGCAGGAGCGGGGGAGGGGCAGAGAGAGAGGGAGACACAGAATCCGGAAGGCGCTCCAAGCTCCGAGCGCCGTCAGCACAGAGCCCAGCCACCGGGCTTGAACTCACGAACCGGGAGATCGTGACCTGAGCTGAAGTCGGTTGCTTAACCGACGGAGCCACCCGGGTGCCCCCGTAATTTTTTTAATTTTCTACCAGCTGTATTAAAAAGAGTAGAGAGACAAGGGGCGCCTGGGTGGCTCAGTCAGTTGGGCGTCTGACTTAGCCTCAGGTCATGATCTCACGGTTCACAGGTTCAAGCCCTGCTGTCGGGCTCTGTGCTGACACCTCGGAGCCTGGAGCCTGCTTCGGATTCTGTCTCTCCCTCTCTCTCTACCCCTCCCCTGCTCACGCTCTGTGTCTCTCTGTCTCTCAATGATAAATAAACGTTAAATAATAAATAAATAAGCATTTTTAAAAAGATTTTTAAAAATCATCTCTGCACACAACACGGGGCTCGAACGCACGACCCTGAGATCAAGAGTCTCCTGCTCTACTAACCGAGCCAGCCAGGCGCCCCTACTTTCTGTTTTGAAGCGGTTTTTGACTCACTTTTTCAATTGAAATTAGCGTTAAAGACTCTGTTCCTCAGACACGACGGCCACATTTCAAAGGCTCCATAGCATTACGGGGCTGGCGGCCACTGGATCAGAGGCTGCAAACACAGAGCGTTGCCCCGATGGCAGAGGGCCCTGCTGACAGTGCCTGATGTGTGGACAGAGTGGGGGACGCGTTGGGGGTTATGTCGAGAGGGAGGGTTTGGGCTCTGGGTCATGATGCCTGTGGCTCAGTGTACTTGGGCGAGACATGCATCAGTGTCTCCAAGCCTCAGTCTTCTCATCTAAAACGGGGGACGGGAGGGGCTGGGCTGAAGGAGGTTGCTGGGGCAGAGACAAGGGTCTAGATTTCTGCTCTAGCGGTTGGGGTCTGGGGTCTGCGGTCTGGGAGGACTTTGTGACCACAGGCGGGCACAGGAAGGATCCGGGAATGCAGGGATGCGGGCGGGACCACCCAGCACGGGACCAGAGGGGCTATCTTGGAGCACTACTGAAAGAAACACTGAGTAAATCCAACATCAGGTTCACGCTGGCACCTCTAAGCACTTCCTTTGCTCTCCCCACAAACCGGCCAGGCTCCCCGTTCACGGCAGACCTCAGGATTGGCTGTTGATTTGGCCAGGAGCCAGGAACGCCCTGTGCCCGAAGCTCTACTCTACCTGGCGAGCTCTCGCCTAACCTTCAAACCCAAGCCCTTTGTACCCCTCCTGGACAGATCCCCGGGTTCAAGCCTCCACTCCAGGGCACTGGGGAAGAGGCTGGGACACTATGGGAAGGGCAGGGTCCAGGTGGGACCTGAGGGCCCTTGGGACCAATGCCACCTCCCTGGGGACCCCTCCCCACATAGGTTATGCGGCCAGGTGGCTGGAGACACTGGGCTCAGGGCCAGGCGCTGTCTGCCGGGACACCAGCGATGCCGCTGTCTCCCTCTGAGTCACCTGGCCTCAGTTTCCTCAACCGCAGAATACAGGTAACAACAGTGCCAGCCTCAGGACTCACGTACGTCACCTGGCTGACACGTTGGTAACCCACGATTGTCTCCTTTGTTATCAACGATGCCGTCTCCACTCCCCCCTCCTCCCAGCTGCTCTGACCCATGGATGCACTCGGCTGGACCAAGACCCGATGGCCCTGGCAACAGTGTCTCCTCGGGCTGCTGCTGCAACTGTTTCTGGCTCTGTGCTTCTTCTCTTACCTGCGAGTGTCCCAAGACACGCCCTTGTGGTCCGCCAGGTCGGGGGCCGATGCGGCAGCAGCTCTCGACGCGGCTCCCAACGGGTCCTCAGGGATGGTGTCCTCCCAGGGGGCGCCCTGCCCGACCCCCCCTGGGTCCTCTGCCCGCCCGCCCCTGGTGCTCCTGCTGTGGACATGGCCATTCAACCGCCCCGTGCCTCTGTCCCGCTGCTCGGAGCTGTGGCCGGGCACGGCCGACTGCCGGCTGACTGCGGACCGCAGCGCGTACCCTCAGGCGGACGCGGTGCTGGTGCATCACCGCGAGGTCAGCTACAACCCGAGGAAGCAGCTCCCCACGTCCCCACGGCCGCCGGGCCAGCGCTGGGTCTGGTACAGCATGGAATCGCCCAGCCACTGCGCGCAACTGAAGGCCCTGGACGGATACTTCAACCTCACCATGTCCTACCGCAGAGACTCGGACATCTTCACACCCTATGGCTGGCTGGAGCCGTGGCCCGGCCAGCCGGCCTCCACGGTGGTCAACGTCTCGGCCAAGACGGAGCTGGTGGCCTGGGTGGTGTCCAACTGGAGGGAAGACTCAGCCAGGGTGCGTTACTACCACCTGCTAAAAGCTCACGTCCAAGTGGACGTGTATGGGCGCTCCCACAAGCCGCTGCCGGAGAAGGCCATGGCCCAGCAGCTGTCCCGGTACAAGTTTTACCTGGCTTTCGAGAACTCCTTGCACCCCGACTACATCACCGAGAAGCTGTGGCGGAACGCCCTAGAAGCCTGGGCCGTGCCCGTGGTGCTGGGCCCCAGCAGGAGTGACTATGAACAGTTCCTGCCCCCCGACGCCTTCATCCACATCCACGACTTCCAGAGCGCCGAGGAACTGGGCCGGTACCTGCAGGCGCTGGACAAGGACCACGCCCGCTACCTGAGCTACTTCCGCTGGAGGGAGACGCTGCGACCTCGGTCATTCACTTGGGCCCTGATGTTCTGCAAGGCCTGCCGGAGGCTGCAGCAGGACTCCACCTACCAGACTGTGCCCAGCATAGCTGCCTGGTTCACGTGAGCTGGCCGGGCCGGGGCGGGGGTCGCCCCACACCACACCCCTGGGGACACACCTGCCGGGACGCGGGTGGCCGGGGAGCTCGCTTAGCTGGGGCTTCACCCGCTGGCCACCTCTGCTGCCAGGAGACCGGCCCGGGCCACCTTTCCTGCCAGGGGCCTCCCCGCCCGGGGGGGGGGGGGTCTCACCCACTTGCGAGGAGCCTCACCTGCTGGGGACCCCACCCACGAAGGCACTCAGGCCCTGGGGAGCCGGCCTGGGGGTCCCACCCGCTGGACGCGGTTCCGCTGGGTTTGCTTGTGGTTGCCCTTGCTGTTGTTAACCGCCTGTGGGGTGGCAGGTGGGCAATATTGGCACCAGACTCCAGATGGGAATGCTCCCAGGAAAACCGAGGTCTTCTCCCTTCTTTTACAACAGCGGTTCTCACCCCAGGGTGGCTCTGCCCTCCAGGGCACACTCGGCCAGGTGCCGTGAGGCTTGTGGCTGTCACAGCTGGAGATGGGGCGATAGCCTCGAGTGGGTGGGGGGCCACGGATGCTGTGCAACAGCCTAGGGTGCCCAGGACGTCCCCCACAACCACGAATGGCCTGGTCCCGGATGTCAAAAGATGGAAAAGCCCCCGAGGTCAAGCCCATCAGGCAGTGGGGAGTGGGGGCCAGGCTGCCTGGGGGGTCACTGGGGGCCAGGGGCTGTCCGGCGAAGGAGGGGGGAGGGGCGGGTGCGGTGCCGTGCGAGTAGTCGGGCGGGCTTGTGTGACATGTGGCGACCATGCGGGGCGGGGAGCGTGACCATTGGCGTGAGTGTCCCCGCTGTGTGTGGGCGAAAGCCAGACCCCATGTGCTTTACAGATGAGCGGTGACCTTGAGGTGTCACTCGTAGCGCGCAGTTTTGACCGTGACGACTGGACGCATGTGGGAGGGCCGGGCGTCTGTGTGTGATCTGCTCTGCCGAGCCCCATGTAGGTGCCCAGTCTCAGTGCGTGTGTGTGCGTGTGTGTGTGTGTGTGTGTGCGTGTGCACTACAGGGAACCCAGCCCCAGGGATCTGTGGGGGCCGTCGGGTATATGTTCCAATTCTCTGGTGGTCTGGGCCAGCGCCCTGTGGTTGGGATCCTGGAACTGAGTGGGAGATGAGGAACCGAGGTGCCAGGAGGTCCTGACAGGATGCACACACTCGCTCCTCCGTCCACACACACGCGCGTGCACACACACACACACACACACGGTCATCGGGCTTCAGGGGCCACAGACCTGGGCTCCAAGGTCGATTTTCCCACTATGGATCCTGGGCTGAGCACCTTCTGTCTCTGTGGCTCAAGGCCATCTGGGATGGGGAAACTGAGGCTTGGCTTCTGCTCCAAGCAGACAGGGACCCCGGCTGCTTCTCTGCCATGGCTGAGCTGAGTCAGCCCAAACTAACAGGAATCCACCACCCCAAACCTCAGAGCCAGAAGACTGCACGGGTGGGCACCCCATCCAGCCTCAGCTCTGAGACTTCCTTCCAGGCAGACCACCCATGGGCTGGGGCCTGGCTGCCCGCCCTGCCCTCGGGGCCCCTGGCAGTCCTGCCCGTTAGCTGCCTTCAGTGTGGCCAGCTGCAGCTGGCGACCTGGGCAGCAGGGAACTAGGGATGTTCCTGCTGGGCTGGATGAACCTTCCTGGGGCACCTTCTGATTTGGTCCCTCCAGCTTCGGGATACGGGACTAGGTCTGGGAGGGACACGGTGTTAGAAGGTGGTCCTGCGCTCTGCTGTGTGGGAGAGGACAGGGCCCGTCTCTGGGAAGAGTGAAGGAGGGAAGGGGCTGTGCCCTAGGGAGCCTCGGTGGAGGTGGGGGTGAGGGAAGAGGAGACGGCAGCACATCCTCAGGAAGGCTGTCTGGGGTGGGGAGGGGGCTGCCCCTCCAGAACCTCACTGGGAGGTCCAGGAGGCCACGGTCCACGCCCTCTGGGCCAGTGTGCCAGTCTAGGGGCCCAGCACCCGCCCCCTGCCCTGCCCTCCTCCAAGCCTGGGACCCCCACCCTTCCCTACGGTCTGGGAACCCAACACCCTGGGGTGTCCCAGGCTTGCCAAGCATCAAGGTGACACCGCGGGCAAACCTCAACAGCGCGCCGGGCTTTCTCTGTCCTCCCAGGGGACGCGTTGTTAAGTCCCCCCGGAGCTCCGGCCAGGGCTTTTATGGGCCCAGGACCTACGTCCCCCGGGACGCGCTCTGCCCGGGCAGGCGCCGGGTTCGGGCTGGACAGGGCTGGCGCCCGCCCCAGACCTATCCCCACAGGGAGATGGGCAGCGCGCATATATTTTTAGCTAGTGAAGGAGATAGTGCTCCGTTCCCTCCGGTGGGGGCCCACCGGCCTGAGGAGGCCCTTCAGGGGAGGGAGGCCGGGTCCACCTGGACCTCGGACTCGTCATCCGCCTTGGGCTCTCTCTTCCCACCCACAAGCTCGCCCGACGGGGTTGGCGGACGAGGGACACGTCGGGGAAGGGGCCCGGGGACCTGCAGGCGAGTGGGAAGGACGGTCCCGGCCGACGTTGCCCCCACTCGCCCCACTCGGCTCTTTGTCCCACGGGAGGAGGACCCTCTTGTCCACCTC